ATTAAATTATAAAACAGGAGATAAAGTTATTTTTTAATTTAACTGGTGCATTTTAAGTGTATTTATTTACTGGTTCATAATTCTGGTTTTATTTCTAACTATGTCAGTGTTGGTCCTCCGTACGTCAGAAGCCTGATAATCATCTGTTCCTTCATATCAGGTGTGTTGGAGCAGAGAAACAAGTAAACCATGCAGGGCTGCAGCCCTCCAGGACCAGGACTGCCCATGTCTGGTCTAGTCCCAGCCCAGTCGGACCTGAACTCAGAGCAGCGACCGGAGCAGCTGCTGCTACAACGTTTGGGTTTGTAGTTTAAATCCAAACCTCTCAGATCAAGTCGTTCACAGGAGGACCAGGACTCCTCCTGCTGATCCTGGATCCTCTAAGTCCACCTTACAGTCTGAAGTGATGAAAAACAGGAAGACTTGGTTTTCAGCAAAACGACAGTCAGACCAAGTTCTTTTTTTCTGGATGATGAAACCATGAAAGTGTTTCAAACGTGTGAACGTCAGCGTGGTGCTACACGGGAGAAAAACCTTTTTTTCTTAAATAAAACTTCAGGTTTTTGCTCCTAAAACAGAAAAAAAAAACAAGTTTCTTGAAAACTCTGAAAGAGTTTTATGAAAAGTTTTCAGTCGAATGTTGAAAATCTCGCTGGATGAACGGCAGGATCAGCTCCTGGTCAGGAAAAGTTGAAGCTGATTAGACGAGGCGGCCATCTTGAATCAGGTTACTTCCAGAAAGTTCTTCAGTTGCAGATTTTCACCCAAAGATTCTTTTCTAAGACTTTAATTTAAAGCAGTCCAGTGGTTCAGCAGATATTTTGCTAACAGACAGATAAATGAGTGGAATAAGTGTTTGTTTTTTTCTATGAAATTTCCCTGGAACTCTTGTGGAACTATAATTTGAGTGAAAGTGTGAAAGAACTGCTCGGCATGCAGACTGGATCAGGTGAGACTGGATCAGGTGAGACTGGATCAGGTGAAGGTTTCTGGTCGTTAACAGGCAGCCAGCAGTCCAGCTGCCTGGAGCTGCAGGGTCTCACCTCCGGGGGGCGCCAGCCTCGGAGTTTCAGAGTCCGACACGTCTGGCTCCCCGGGGACTAGTTGACCCGGATCCCTGAGATGAAGGGCAGACCGGTGGGGACCCTCCTCTTGTACTCCACGTAGTCCTCGGCGAAGAAGTGGATGAGGGAGAGCTCCTCCTCCTCGATCCGCTCCCTGAAGAACCTCCAGCTGGCCACGGTGTAGCCCAGGATACACACGGGGTTACACAGCATGATCTGCAGGGGCACMGGCTCATTAGAGTTCACTAAAACTAACTAAAGAACAAAAACTGACATTGAAAAAACATTTGAGTTAACTACAATAAATAAAAACTGTAATAAAATTAAAAAACGATAACTAAAACAGTATAATCTTTTTACAAAACTACCGTATTTTTCGGACTATAAGCCGCAACCTTTTTCCTGAACTTTGAACCATGCGGCTTCTAGTCCGGTGCGGCTTATACGTGGATTTTTTTCTTCAGCCACCAGGGGGCTCTTATGCTGCATTTGCTTCAACCACTCGCTTCAAAATAAGGAAGAAAAAAAGAAAAAAAAAGCGATCGCTTCCAGAGCCGACTGTTGTAACAGGAAGCAGCGATTTAAAGATAGTCAGTGGCCAAAAACTCATAAAAGGGGATAAAACAGACATTTTTCACGGTGGAATCTGACTGATAAAA